CAGACCCCCCAGGATACAGAGTAGATATTCTGGCACCCCTTGCATGCTGGGCCAGAGGTGAAGCATCAGGGCTCAGCCGAGCAGGCGGGCGGGAGCGCCAGCCCGTGCTCCTGCGGCCGACAGGGGCTGTAACTGCATAGGAGGCCCCAGGAGAGGCCTGACCGCGGGGGTTGAACCAACACCGGCAGCCAGGCAAGGTCGGAGGGGAGCACATTGCTCCTGAAGGTGCGTACCGCCATTCAGGGCAACAGCAGCTCTGAGGGCAAACAGGATGCCTTCAATATCCATCCCTCAAGCAGGTAAAGTGTGCAGGCCCAGGACAAACAGGAGCGCAGAGACAGTTAAGTTGTTTGCTGGCCAGAATCCCAAAAGGCACTTAGGTAAGATGATCCCTGCCCCACTACAAACCCATAACCACTCCCCTAAACACATATAGCTAATCACTAGCACCATCCCCACACTCATACATGTGCTCTTGTCCGTTTAGCTGTGCTGATGCTTTATTTTATTGTTAAGTGGTTTAGATTAAAAATGTCTTCAATCTGTTACTGATAATAGTGATGGGTGGTTGTAGAAAAGACTCATTCTAGAGCAGAGGTACCTCATCATCATGGTATCATCATGGAAACCAATTGAATGTACTGGCCCACTCTTTGAACCTGTCCCAATATTATTCTGTATACATACCCTTCATATTTTGAAAACACTTCATCATTGAGATTCTAAGTGCTTTTCACCTTTTAGAATTGAGGATGACTTTCTTTATCTAATTATGTTTACAGAAAGCTGATTTCTGAGGTTGCTGCATGACAGGGTAATACAAAAAGATCTTTAGATTTCCAGGTTGGACTTTTATTTTATTTTTATTTATCTTATTAGACACAGGGGCATATAATTGAGATAATACTTTTACATCACCACAATTTCTTCAAGCTGGGGAAGAGGAGTCTGGAAAAATTAAATTGCTACATTTTATAAATGACTCCATCTGAACGACAAATCAGGAATATTGGTCATCATGCATAAACGAGAACAGTTTAACTTCTTACTTGGGGTCCACTGGTGCCATTCCCCATCTCCTCTCAGCAGCCAAAAGTAGAGTGGAAGCATCAGCTAAACACTATCAGCAAATGAGCCTACATACAATAGTTAGATGTCAGGGTTCTCCTGGTACCATAATCACAATAGCATATGGTACTGTTTACAGTCCCTGAAGAGTTCTTTTAAGGCTTGCATAACAATGATTTTAAGTTGAAATGATTTTGTGAAGAGATTATCAACATTAGTTCTAATCCTAGAATGGTTAATAACAGCAAAAATTATATGGTGTAATATTATACTCTACTAATGATGTAGGGTATACTGCTCTATAGGACAAAATAATAAATACAGCATCATCATACCATAATGGCAATACTGCACACATTGCAATGGTATTCTGTGCTGGGGAAGAAACGTTGGGCTTGCAATAGCTGCAGATATTACAGCTGCAACTATTACAAACCAAAATGTATTATACACTGTATACAAAACATGCAAAACTAATTTCAGACATGTTTTCTTTAGGGGCTGTACCTACTAAATTATTCATTTTTTGTTTTGTTTGTTTGTTAGTAGTTTTTTGAGTGTTCCTCTAGTAGCGTATTAAGAGATAGGTGTGTAGTTTTGTTTCTGACTCTTACATTATATTGGTAATCAAATGACCAACAACACAGGATGCTCATATTTCACAAACTAGTAAAAATGTCTTGTATTCCATAAAATGTGATATGAAAAAATGATCTATAGTAGTAACAGCAGTAGTTGTAGTAGTAATAGTAGCGGTAATAGTTGTAGTATATACAGTCAACATATTCCAAAAATAATTGAGGTGATTTAACCCATATTTTATCTATTCAAGTGTCAAAAAGTAATCTGCATTTATGATACTTTTTATATTGTCTCACTGTGGTTACATCCTTTTCATCTGTCCATTTACTTTTCATGTTCTGATCATTCCCACTAATATCTCGAAGAGCAGAATGTGTATGTATTGGTGCTGCCATAAGGTTAACCTAACCCTTAAAAAAATAACGTAAAGGACCACTATAGGCACCCAGAGCACTTCAGCTTAATGAGGTGGTCTGGGTGCCTTGTCCAGCTAGGTTTAACCCTTTTTTTTTCTATAAACATAGCAGTTTCAGAGAATGTTTATAAATGGATTAATCCAGCCTCTAGTGGCTGTCTCATTGACAGCCGCTAGAGGGCTTCCGCGCTTCTAACTGTGATTTTCACAGTGAGAAGACGCCAGCGTCCATAGGAAAGCATTGTGAATGTTTTCCTATGGACTGGCTGAATGCGCGCGCGGCTCCTGCCGCGCATGCGCATTCAGCCAAAGAGAAGGAGAGGACGCGGAGAGGAGGAGGAGAGCTCCCCACCCGGCGCTGGAGAAAGAAGTAAGTTTAACCCCTTCCTCCCCCCAGAGCCCGGCGGTAGGGGGACCCTAAGGGTGGGGGCACCCTCAGGGCACTATAGTGCCAGGAAAACGAGTATATTCTCCTGGCACTATAGTGGTCCTTTAATCTTGATCCCATTGTACAATGCTGCAGCATTTGTTGGCGCTATATGAATAATAACTACAGTAGCAGCACTAAATGATCATGTAATGCAAAGGATACATAATGGTGAAGCAACTTTGAAGATTGGTATTGTGACCTTACAACTGCTATGGAATGGAACACACAGACACGCACATAAACATACTTCTTTTTTTTTTTTTTTTTATTGCCATGGCCTGCCTGAGATTTGCAGCTTTTAGGGCTTTAAATACCAGAGAACTGTACGTTGGATTTATACACGGCCTTAAAAAACATCCAGAAGCCAGGCAAAATGATTTGCATGAGAGACTTACTTACTAAAATGAGAAGTCAAAGTGAATCCAAAGTGAATTTCAAATTAAGGTCTACAGCAGTAGAACTGGTGAAATAGCTGGCTTAGAGAGTTTATCCAGTTCAGCTATTTTTACCTTAATAATAAACCCCTTAGTAAATGATATGTGAGCTTTTTATGATGTAATACCTTGTTTTCACTGTGTTATAGTGCTTTTAAAACACAGCTTTATCAGATTTCATATGCAATCAACTTGTAAACCTTTTTAACACTAACAGGGTTACCATTCACAGTAAGGCTTCAAAGTTATTTTCAAATTAAAGGTCAAAATAGTGAACAGGAAACATTTTTTTAAGTCACCCATGCTTTTATTTCGGCTACTATGATCTTAAAGGGACACTATAGTAACCAACTACAGCTTAATGTAGTTGTTCTGGTGTGTATAGTATGTTTTTGCAGGCATGTGTTGTCAGAGAAAAGGCACTAGAGGTGCGTCCTGGGGCAGTGCTGCACACCATCGCACTGCTCTGCATTGATTCAATGAGGAGATGCTGATTGGTGCATTGTGGCGTTTTCCTGTGCATGCACAATAGTCTCTCAATGCTTTCCTATAGGATAACACTGGATTGGCTGAGATTGTCAAATCTTATTATCTCAGTCAATAAGGTGGAGCAGGGATGGGGCCAGCCGCACCCCTGGAAGTAAGGTGAGTTTTACATCTTTTTAATGGGAGCACGGCGCATTGAGAACTGTATGTCGGGAATACATGTTCCTTACAATATATATTGTTCCTTTAATTTTAAAATTCACTGTGAATCTCTATTTTGTGTGCTATTTAAATTTCAAAATTTCAAATTTTTTGTAAAAATAACCACGAAAACCCTACATTTTATTAAAGGACACGGAGGCTCATATTATGCTTCATCTCTTTCTTTATTCATCAGCAGCAAAGAAAGAATATTGTAATATTCATATAAAAAAAGTGTACCCTCAAAGGGTTAACAACATAACATGACATCCCATAATAATGCTCCTTGACAATAAATCCCCATGTGATCCTAATCCACTCCTCCTTCTTTGCTGCTGCCTCCTCAGTTAAGTACAATTCCATTTTCCCTGTGTCTGGGGGCGGGAGTGTGTCAATTGGTCAGCCAAGAAGCTAGGCAGTCCACCAGTGCTCCCCAGGAGCCATTCCTGAGGGAACACTTGGTGAGCTTGCCTTTTTCATATCTACCAGTTATTGGTTTATGTGTACTTGGCAGAACTGGCAAAAGAATTCTGGCAATTTTGCCTAGATCACAATATCTCGGTTCAGGCGGTATACATCCTGGGATGTCCAGCATAGTGGTGGATTGGAACTCCAGATATCTGCGGGTTGCCAGCAATTGGCGGCTGAACCATGTCGTTTTGCTCTGACTGCAGTCCCTCTGGGGCCCTCTGGATATCAACAATTTTGCATCTCGGGTAAACTCCCGACTGCTGAAGTTCTTCAGTTGGAGACAAGATCCAGAGGCATTGGTGTTAGATGCTTTCCTTCAGCCATGGCCAAACATTCGTCACTACTCTTTTCCTCCGTTTTCCCTGATAGCTCGGACACTACTACACCTCAGACGTCCCCAGACCTCTCTGATACTCATATTTCCTTTCTGGACGGCTCAGCCATGGTTCCCTACTTTCATGGAGATGGCCATAGACTATCCGAGATTACTCTTTACCTCACCAGACCTCTTGCTGGACCCCAGCGGGAACTCACACTCCCTTCATTTACATGGGTACCTCAAGTTACTGGCAAGGCTACTCACTGGGGACTTGGCTTCATCCTAAATGATCCACAGGCAACTCTAGACCTTCTCGCAGGAGCTTGGGTTCTAGGAGCACGAAAATCCTACCTTCATGCATTGAATTCATGGAATAGTTGGTGCATGGAACAACATGTGGATCACATATCTGCACCTGTGAGTCATGTTTTGAGGTTCCTTACTTTGCTATTTGACCATGGCTTAGCATATCATACAATAAATTTATACCGATCAGCTATTTCTGCAGGCCACCATGGACTGGATGGTAGACATCTGCAATTCGGTTCGGTCCAAATGGAAGTTCTGACAAATTTTGCACATTCGGATGCTTCGGTTAGGGTTAGGGGTAGGGTTTGGGTTGGGTAAGGAGTAGGGTAAGGAGTAGGGTAAGGAGTAGGGTAAGGAGTAGGGTAAGGAGTAGGGTAAGGAGTAGGGTTAGGAGTAGGGTTAGAGTTAGGAGTAGGGTTAGGGTACCTCTACCCCAACCCTAACCTAACCTTACTCGTAACCCAACCCTAAGCCTACCCCTACCCTAATCCTAACCCTACTCCTAACCCAACCCAAACCCTACTCTTAACCCTAACCCAACCCTAACCCTACTGCCATGGCATCTACAGAGTTCTCCAGAGGATGCAGATTAGAAGACCTCCTCCAGGCTGCTGACTGGTCCTGTGAATTGACGTTTAGAGAATTCTATTTTTATCAAGTTTCTTATTTTTCTGATATTTAACAGCTCTGAACTAAAATAATATAAGCCTCCGTGTCCTTTAATAAAATTACCAGATTTTACAAATTTCACGATGTAAAGTCATGATTTTATAAAGGACACGGCGGTGAGTATTATCCCACCCGATTCAGGTATGTTGCGCCCTCCTCGTATGTTTCTCATAAAATTATTTTACAGTCTTTAAGATACTACATGCATTTGCTTAATTAATTAAAGATTCTATTACGATACTATTCTGTTATATTTGAATATGTTATTATGCTTAATAATGCATTATGACGGTATTTTAATGTCCAGAAACATATTTTACCAGTTTGTTCCTGTAACGGAGCTCCAGTACTCGGACTGAGTACCTCCGCCAAGTCTGCTTTTTTGTAGCTATCAGGGACCCTGAGACGCCGAGGCTTGACTGGGATCACTTAGGGCCTTTTCCACCCTGGACCAAACACCAGACGACACATGGTGAAGGTTAAACAGCAACTCTTTAATGAATACAGCACACATAGTTTAAGCCCCCAACAGCCTCATTTACATACAATAGGTTACATAGATTACTATAGTACAAGGAAGGGTGGGGTCAGACAATAGCAAGGGCTGATGGGAGATTAAGGAGGGACAGAGCAGCTAGATTAAACTGGTCTGGCAGTGTCCCTGGGACAACGCCCTGCTGGGGAAACAATAGGACAGGAAAAAAGGGGAAGGGGGAGATGCACAGACCAGCAATACATTCAACGTACCCTGCACAAATAATAGGCACAATGTGACAAAACACAAAAGGAATTTGGGAGCCCACCCATAGTGTCTGTCTTCCATCCCCAGTGATGGTGACTACCGTCACAGTTCCTCTATCCCTTGCAGCCTCCTAATTGGATTTGGCATCATTTGCACCAGTTCCTTCCAAGTTCTAGCAGAGGATCCCATCTTCTTCTAAATGTACACGTTGTACGCCCACAGAGTTGCTGCTTTCTTCTTCACGTTTGACCATATGTTTTTACATTGGGATGTTCATCAGCATCATCAAGAAAGAGGAGTGGCTTAGAGTCACATGGGGGTTTATTGTCAAGAAGCATTATTATAGGATGTCATGTTATGTTGTTAACCCTTTGAGTGTACAGGTTTGGTTTTTTTTTTTTTTTACATATAAATATTACAGTATTCTTTTTTTGCTGCTGATGAATAAAGAAAGAGATGAAGCATAATATAAGCCTCCATGTCCTGAATAAAATCATAACTTTGCATCATGAAATTAGTAAAATCTGATCATTCTCTGGAAAGTTAACCTGAGAGTTTAGACTGTGACCATGAACAATCATAGCTTAGCGCAAGAGGATGCAGGTTTCATTCCCCCACCCCAAAAAAATAAAAATTGCATTTCCTTTTATTTAAATGAAACCTAAGAGTCACAGTGCTTATAATTATAACTTTGCCCCATCTCCAATTTTTTTCAGCAGGCACTATGCTGAAATTGTCACAATATATATAAAATATATATATATATATATATTTATATATATATATATATATATATTCTTGTCTATATCACCTATTCTCCAATTTTAACTCAAACTTTTTTATCATGGGCATCATTTACATTTGAATTGAAGGACTTTGAGCTATTGAACAATTTGGAAATTTATATGAAATACTATTTTTTTTTTTTTTTTTTAATAATGCCATTAGAAAGGGGTACATGAAAACATGATATAGTTGTATTTATACGTGATTACACACAACTGGTAAATGAAATCAGTAAAACCACCCAATCAGTGGGCAGATATGAATAATGTAAATAATAAGGATTTGATTAATATACTGCTATGATGTGTTTTTCTTTTGCCGTGTAAGGAAATTTTAATTCTAGCCAGACCCCCATACTACAAATGACCACAGGCCATGAGTCATTAGGACAGGATGCGATGCCTTCAGATGGAGGCGTAGAACATTCTTCCACCAAAATCAGAAAATAGTAGCATTACATTTTTAAATAATGGTAAATCCTTTAACCCCTTCGCGACCGAGGATGGTTCAGGACCGTCATCGGCATTTTTGCGTTGCCGACCGATGACGGTCCTGAACCGTCCTAACGGTCTCCGTTACTTACCGGATCGCCGTCGTTCCCCTGGCGGCGATCAGCGTTGCTCCGGTTGTGGGGAGACTGCCTGCAGCCCAGACAGTCTCCCCACACTGAATTAGGACCCCTGTGGCCATGTGATCGCTCAACACAGCGATCACATGGTCACAATAGGTGTCCTAGTGTCTGCCTGCAGGGGGACTGTCTGTGCTGACAGGCAGTCTCCCTGCTAGTGTAAAATCAAAAAAAAAAATAAAGTTAATGTTAATAAAAAAAAATAATTATATATGTGTATACATATATGATATATAGACATATATTATATCAATATAATATATGTCTATATATCATATATATATAATGCCATACTAAGTGTATTTTTATATTAATATGTACTTATATTAATATAAAAATACACTTATAATTAAATTACACACGTATATATATAATATATATAATAACTATATATATTGTGTATATATATATATTATTATAAAATATAAATAATAAGTAATTTAAATTAAATAATTTTTTTTAAATAATAAAAAATTTTTACAAAATTATATATCTATATGAAATTTTATTCTAACTGTATTTTAAAATTAATATATATTTATATCAAAATACACTTAGAATGAATCTGTATATATATCTATGTATATAAAAATAAATAAAAATAATAAGAAATATACATATGTCCATATACAAAATTACATAAATAATTATATAAATATACACGTAGACTTCAAATATATAAATATGCATATATATTTAAATTCTACGTGCGTATTTATGTAATATTTTTACATAATTCAGTAATTTTATTGATTGCAATTTGAGGGACCTGCCTGCCAACCCAGGCCGAAATTCCAGAGAATTGAATTTGCTAGCACTGTATTTTACCCTGTAACGTTCTACGACACCCTAAAACCTGTACATGGGGGGTACTGTTTTACTCGGGAGACTTCGCTGAACACAAATATTAGTGATTCAAAACAGTAAAAAATATCACAGCGATGAAATTGTCAGTGAAAGTGACTTTTTTTGCATTTTTCACACACAAACAGCTCTTTTACTGATGATATAATTGTTGTGATACGTTTTCCAGTTTTTAAACACTAATATTTGTGTTCAGCGAAGTCTCCTGAGTAAAACAGTACCCCCCATGTACAGGTTTTATAGCATT